AAGGTAGGAAATAGCAAATGCAACATTCCAATAGGATCTACATCAGTTGTCCTCAACCATTTTTTACCCATGGGCCACTTTTACTCTTAATTCTTTTTTGTGGACATCACCGCCATTCGATGAAAACAATAGCTTATTTTATTTTTTATTATTAGATAAGGTTAGGAAATGTATTATAGAAATATAAAATGTATATGCTTCGTTTATATATAATCTTTATACAATTAATATATTAGATTATTTTTATTATTAATATTTTGTTTTTTTATAATTTATATTGATTAATTTATATTACTATATTAATATTTTATTTTATTAATATTTAAAATTATATTATTTATTATTAATATATTCAATTAATTTTTATAATAAATTATAATATTTATATAATTTTCCTTTATATATATATATATAATCCTTCTTTTATATATCCTTCTTTGTTTTTATTCAACTTTTACAATCAAAACATCCGGTAGAGTAAAAGGGGAGATAACTTACATTGCTTGATCCCGTTTTCTGCTAGTTTTAGATATTTTTTCGAAATTTAGTTTTTTTTTTAATATGGCGCAGATTACTGTAGAAATTCCAAATGTCATTTGTGACAGACGCTCCGAAGTGAAATTGCTTCATAGGCCACTAAAATATTACGTTGAACCCCCAATCTTCTATGTTTTTTGTGTCGAAACCCAGTAATGTTGCATGGACCCATTGGGTACATATAGACTCCATTTGAGAACGACTGATCTAGATAGAGAAAGACAGACATAAGTTTAAAAAGACAAACGTACACACACACACACACACACACACACACACACACACACACATCATCATCATCATCATCATCATCTTGCGGCCTCAGCCGAGATTGAACATACTAATACTTTGATTGGTGCAGTTCATAATCTTGTCAAATAGCTGAATTCTTGATGCTTCGCTAGGGCTATCAAGGGTGTTTTTTATCGTGACACCAACACTAAATGGATTGCCAACCAAGGCTCAGAGAGACTCCATTCACCCTCCTCTAAGAGCAGGTTTTGGATTCAGAGTTTTCCTTCTCCTAGACCAGTTGCCATCCAAGGCTATAGAACCCAGTCTGTCCTGCAACACACACACACACACACACACACACATACACATATATATTAGAAGAAACCTCAACAGAATGCAGAAAGCACTAGACGGCCGTTTCGTCCTATATTTGGGACTCATCAGCAGTGCGCATCCACTACCAAGAATTGAAAACAATGAAACTGAAATCGTGCAAATGTCATACCAACTGTTCCAACGGGCCTCGTTGACGAAGAGATCGCGAATCAGACTCGATATAGCGCTGCTCGATCACATATTCCATGGTGGAACTCATCCGAGTTTCTCTTAGCCATAGGACTGTGCCCCCACGAGCCACGACTACTATCCATAAGCCACTCCATCCAGAGCATTAGTTCAAGCAATGATATACAAGTAATAGAAAATATTAGGAGGATTTGATAATTATAATTATAATAAAGTAATTCATCGAGTCTAGAAGAAACCTCAAAAGAATGTAGAAAGCACTGGACGGCCGTTTCGTCCTATATTTGGGACTCATCAGCAGAGCGCATCCACTACCGGGAATTGAAACCCTGGCAGTTAGGTTATCAGGAAAACGTCATACCAACGGACCTCGGTGACGAAGAGATAGCGAATCAGACTCGATATAGCGCCGCTCCCATATTCCGTGGTGGAACTCATCCGAGATTCTCTTAACCATTGGACTATATATATATATATATATATATATATATATATATATATATATATATATATATATATATATATATATATATATAGTTGTAGAGTGGATAAATGAAACGGCCGAATATAAGCAGGCGTGTACGCGTGTGTTGGTGTTCATACGCTGGCAAGCAACTAAATAATCGTTAAATTTATGCATGAGGTGTAGACGTAATAGTGTTCAATGCGGTCATACAGAGCAAACATATGTATTAATTAGGACATATACGCGTACCTACGTTTTTGGCCTCCGACTATCATTTCGCTGGGATGTGTTACCAGTTCATCGGGAAAGTAACTACGCGTATATGTACTACTAATATATATATATATATATATATATATATATATATATATATATATATATATATATATATATATATATATATATATATATATATATATATTCATATATATATATATATATATATACATATATATATATATACATATATATAGAGAGAGATAGATAGATAGATAGATAGATAGATAGATAGATAGATAGAGAGAGAGAGAGAGAGAGAGATAGAGAGAGTGGTGGGGAGACATAAAAAAATGAGTGTCGCAAAAGCAGACAGAGAGTGAGATTCAGTGCCTCTAAAATAAGTAAATGATTTATATGCGTAAACGAGTCTTTATCTTAATGTGTGGGAGTGTCAGAGTGCATTCTAGTATGTTGAATTTTCCATTCAATAAAAGACAAAAACGAAAGACGATAATATATTTCGGATCGGCGTGGATTTACCCTTGTCGCCACACTGTCAGCATAGATCGTAAATGGAGACAGACATCTGAATTTTTAATATCAAGTGAAATCTTGGCATTAATCTTTTCGAAGATTTTAATGAATAAATTACTAACTGTTCTCTGGCGAGGTGAATTTTCTGCGAAGGATGCATGAAATGAAGGCCAAAATTTAAAAACTGATTCTTTTACGAAATGAATGTTTGATTATGATATCTATCTAATACTTACCCCATTTTCTCTCTATCTACCTTTCTTTCAATATAATTTAACCCATCTCAGCGACTTGTCTTCTATCTATCTATCTATCTATCTATCTATCTATCTATCTAATGGTGTGGCTACAACAGATAGATAGAAAAAGGTGGCAGCGATAGATAGATAGATATATTTGTGTTTGGAATTTTCGTTTTTTATATATTAGATGGTTTTATTTTGTACTTTTTGTTGAAGCTTGGATAAGCATGGAATAATAATAATACAACACAAAATGTACGTAAACAAAATGTATTGAAACAAGGAAAAAGGTACACAATATTTACAGTTAGTTTTGGTATATTCTTGGGAAGACAGTTCCTGCAGAATGGGTTGACTTAATCGCAGTCGGGCAGAGTCTCTCGATTCGATCTCCTCTTCCTTCTTCCCCGTCTTCCGGTACCAACCCATATTTATATCGGTCGGTACTCCACTATGTAAATTAGGTGGATCGTACCACAACACTTATATATCTGTTTTAATGTGCTTTCTTTCCAATTGTTTGTTTCTCTGTTCTATTAGACCATTTTTATCTATGCATATTTGCCCGTATACGTTATATTTTAATAAGTGGTTAGAATTCGTTTAATAACACCTTCAATCTTGAAGATTTCTTGGGTGTTATATTAGAGTGTCTATGTCAATGTATGTGTGTATATGAACGTAGCTTTTTCGGTGTCTGTGTATAGTAACTTGCATGCACTTTTCATTGTGTATGTGTGTGGTTTTAATTTTTTTTTTGTAAAAGGTCGTTCAAATATTTCCTGTCTCGTCGCTTTTTTGTGTGTGTATATATCTAAACGGTGTACATTCTCTTCTGATGACCTCAGTTTAAATATAAATTCGAGAGGAACACATCAAAATTCAGTGAAGTCATATGCCGTAAAGAAGCTCGGTGGAAGTGTCATTGGCATGAGGAGCATTACACATTCAGCTAGCTTCAGTTGAGTTTCAATTACTTTCCAGTAATTTCCTTATTCGAATTCGTGGCTCGTCCGTTGGTTTTCAGGAATAGACTGAATGGCGGTTAGGAACAAACTATCAGACACCTGGAAAGGCAGGGGACGCTGGGAAAGACCAGATGATCTCACCGGGTCATCAACCCAGAGTTCCTTAAACTATTGCTAAAAAGGAATATAAAAGGAAATGCCCTCAGGATTCACCGAAAGGGAGGGAGGATGATGAATCCAAACGAAATAATCGGCAACGAAACCGGATGAAAAACAAACCATAAATTTAGAAAATTGCACGGACTTCCCATGTGTTTGCGGTCGGAAATTCAGGTCCCAAAAGGGAGCGAAGATTCACCTTGCAAAAATGGGTTGTGCTTTTCTGAAAACGGTTCAGGGGCAGCGCTCTGTCAACACAGATAAGGCGTCGGAAAACCAATGCCAGGATGCATACCACAGTGCTGAGGATATCCAAGCTGTTGAATCAAAGGATGGGACGCAACCCAAACTGCCAAGAATCAAATTTCCACCAGCATCCAACTCGGAAGCGTGGTGTGCAAAACATTACGTAAAGAGCTGGGAAGAAAGAAATATCACGAACGTTTGAATGAAAGTAGTAAAATAATCTACAGGATTTGTAATGAAATCTACGGCGTAACAGAGGAAAATGATAAGCCACCACCCAAAAAGAACACGCGTCAAGGGTTAATGCAAGATTTGAGAAACAAAAAAAGAAATCTAAAACGACAAATCCGTTTCGCAAATTTTGACGAGAAAGAAGGCTTGCTTAAAATTTGGCAGGAACCTAAAGAGAAGCACAACGCTCTTAGCAGAAAATTTAAGAAAGAGACAAGTGAAACGAAGGAAAGACCAAGTGCGTTTCTTCCAGGAACCTTACAAATATGTGAGGAATATATTTGATCAACCAAGATCAGGTGTGCTTAAAATAGAGAAAAATGTTCTAGAGGAACATTTAAAAGACATGTACATCCTAAACGACATATTCATCTAGATCATAATAGCAACTCATTTTGGCCAGCCGTTTCTAAAGTGAAGTTTGACGTGAAACCACCCACACAAAAAGAAATTAAACGCATAGTCGACAAAAGTAGGAATAAATCTGCACCTGGCTCTAACGGAATACCTTTCCTTTTATACAAAAATGTCCTACTCTTCTTAAATGGTTACATACTATCTTAAAGTTAGCATGGAAAAATTACCATATCAGCCAACAGTGGATGATAGCGGAAGGTGTATTACATGCAAAAGAAAAGA